CTTTGTTTTGTAGTTAAAATATTCATAAAACTTCACTATGTTGTAGTTGTCCGGTCCAAGCTCTTTGATTTTAGTTAAGATCTCTTTTTCCGCCTTTGCCTCAGAATCATCCTTGTCTATTGGAATTTTTATTACAACAATCTCTCCAGTTTCTTGGTTTCTACATTTGGTAGTTATAGCTGTTCCTCCTATGTCCACAGCTTCTATGAAGAGGTAATTGCTTGTTTTAGATTTGAAAACAAAATCCTTTTTTGAAAAAAGTTCTGACCAAAATGGCCCACAATCAGTTGTTATTACTCCAAAAGGAGTCTGGATGGTCATTTTGTCATCCGGATCAGATGAATAAATGACCGTTTCACCTTTTGGTGGGCCATCGTTGCCTGGATAGAGAGAAGAGGAGGTTTCTCTTTTTTTAGAGTTGTTTGCGGCTCCCAACCTTTCTGAAGTCATTATTTTGTAAGTTATCGCTGCTCCTGTCAAAGTTAGACAAATGGTCTGGTGTGATCACCTGGGAAGCTAGTCTGAACTAAAACCTATTTTTAGAATTGTTGGTTCTAAGTGACATAGGCTATGACGTCAGTGGCTGGGACACGCCCACCCGCCCGGGACACGCCCACCCGCCCGGGACACGCCCACCCTACTTTTTGTTTTTAAACTTTATTAGAACAAAAAATTATAATACAGAGACAAATTAAAATTTACAGTGAACAATCACCAGTGGTTTGAGCAAAAGAAAATAAATAAATAAATAAAATAAAAATGTAATAAATAAAAGTAAAAAAGTAATAGTAAATAGAAACATAAAAAGGGATTATATAAATACTTTAAATTTAGAGCATAAGGTTATAGTTTTAGCAGCTTTTTTATTATTGGAGGGGAACAATGTAGAAAAATAAGTAGTTGCTTCCTTTAGAAAAGAAATACAGGAGGGTTTAGTCACAATAACTTTACATTTGTGGATATAAAACTTGGCCAACAGTAACAAAAGATTGCATAAGAAAAAATGTTCAGAAAGTTATTTTTTTATATTTTGTGATTCCAAATAAAACATCTTGAAAATAAAGTTCAAATTTATCATAAATATTGTCCAGAATGAAGCGAAAGATACCTTGCCAAAAATGCCTGGTGTGTTCACAGGACCAAAACAGACGAGAGACAGATTCTGAGTAAAAGTTGTAAGAAAGTACAAGTGGTATCAATGTCCTTTTTATATTTAACTAAAAATGACTTTACTGGATAACAGCGGTGAATGATCTTAAAGGAAACCTCTTTAACCTTGTTTACTACTAAATATTTATTAGGTAAAGACCAAGTTTTGTTCCAGGAGACCTCTGAGGCCAGTCCAGACCAGACTGAAATTACATAAGGAACTGAAATGCAGTTTGCTTGGAATAAAGTATGAATATGTTTGTTGTTTTTAGGAGATTTAGATTGAAAGCACAATTTACCTACATAGGTGTCAGTTAGTTCAGTTGGAGGTCTCGGGCCTTTGGAGAACAGAGAAGTCTGACCTTTGAATAACATTAGAACACCTGGAGGAATAGCATCAAAAACAATAGCAAACTGTTTTGGGCTTATAGGAATCTTAAAATGATACAAAAAATCTTGATAATTAAAGAGGTTTCCTTTTTCATTAAAAAGTTGAATTACAAGTGTGATAACATTCCTAAACCAGTTTTCAAAAAACAGAGATTTTTTCTTATAACATATATCTTTGTTATTCCAAAGAAAGTACCTATTGGAGAAAAAATATGTTTGAAGATCAGTGACCAGGCCAGAAGGGCTTGTTTATGAACGTTAGACAGAGCAACAGGAATGCGATCAATGTTATAATTACACTGCAAAACAAACTTAAGACCACCTATCCTAGAGAACAAGTAGTGAGGAATAAAATTCCAGATTGAGGTAGGACTTTTAAATTCTTTGAAAAGCATAGTAATAATAATAATAATAATAATAATAATAATAATAATATATTTTTTAAAGCAGTTAATGATTCCAACAAGCAAACTCATGTTATAATTACCTTAAAATATATTCTGATGGTTCTAAGAATTTAAAAGGGTGTGTGGGAATAGGAATATATGTGCCAGAGTTCAAAATACACATTTCTAAAAGAATTTCAGATCAACCATCTGTTTTCACAGCAGAGATGGTGGCAGTTATACTGAGTTTCCAATGGGGGGAGGAGGTCAGAGCAGACAGGTTGGTGGTCTGCACGGATTCCAACGCAGTTTTAAAAGTATTCAGGGAGAAGGAAATAATAGGAAAGATTTAGTATTAGAAATTCAGCACAGTTTATTTAGATTATACAGGAGTGGCATTGATATTTGGTTTTGTTGGGTTCCAGCACATGAAGGGGTAAAAGGAAATGAATAGGCAGACAAATTAGCAAAAAGGGCTTTAGAGGAGGCAATAAAAATTACAATTCCTTTAGGGAAAGGAAAATCATTTATTAAAAAGAAATTGAAAAATGGCAAAAAAAAAAAGGTGGAATGAAGATAAAAAAGGAAGATGGTTATATAAAGTACAAAAGTCAGTATTACATAGAAATATTAATGAGAGAAACCAAAGGGAAGAAATAATAATGATCAGATTAAGAGTAGGTCATACTTATTTAAATGACAATTTATACTTAATAGGGAGGAAAAATAATGACAAATGTGAAGGATGTGGAGAGATAGAAAATGTAGGACACCTATTGATGAACTGTAAAACATATGAACCTGAAAGGGAGAAATTGAAAAGAGTTGAAAGGACAGGCCAAGAGTGGAGTCTTAAAGGATTATTGGGAAATAAAGGAAATATAAAAGATATTTATAGATTAAGGAAAGCATTATTTATTTATCTTCAGAATACAAAATAAAAAAATAGAATTTAATAGATGTAAAACAATGTTGCTACACACTCAAAACAGCAGGTGGCGGTATGCACGCCCCTTCCCTAGAGCCCGGTGGGATCGAAAACATTTTGAATGGAAATCAATGGGGAGAAATTAATAAACTTCTGGTCCCAGTCGCTCTCTGTCACTGATTCCAGATATGCTGGTTGTGTATTTAAATTGTTTTGTTTTTTTTGAGTTCCTCTTTGGTCAAAATCTGGTCAAAATCCATCAATGAGATCGCACCAAACAGGAAGTTAAATGCACAAAGGACCCGGTAGATTTCCAAATAAAACACGTCCGAGCTTAACCCATGATCATTTTGTCAACATAAGTTTCTGCCGTATGCCACGACGTAATGCATTGATCTGAAAATCAACCTCAGACGCAACGCCGCAGTGGCGAGGGTTTGATCCGTCAGATGGAGTTAAATCACAAAGAATTCAATGTTGAATCGGGGCGGCAGCTAAATGCTAGGCGATGGGTAGCAGCCAAAACGTTGCAATTTCACATAATCCTGACGAGATCCGAAAAACCGTAGCAAAAACTAGCAAGCGGGTGATTATGTATGTTCACTAAGTAAATATTATATAAATAAACCCTACATTTCTCGCTATAAATGTAATCAAAACCCATTTAAATGCAGAAACTGATTGAAATTATTGATTTTCCCACTAAATGTTAGAGAAAGCTCAGCCATGTTTATACCAAAACGTTACAGTTTCACATTATCTTGAAAAATCTTTTCAAGAAACGAACAAGCAAGTGAATATGTACATTCCCTGAGTAAATATTCTGGCAACAAACTATACATTTCTCACTAGAAATGAAATCAAAACTCATTTTAATGCAAAAACAAACTCAAGTTATTAATCTTTCCACAAAAAAATGCGAATGTCGGCCATATATATATTTTTTTTCCGTCTCCCAGCTGGAATCTTGAAAGTCACGTGACTAGGACGTAAAACAATAGAAAGCGTATAGGCAGAAGAAATGTAACAGTACCACAAAAAAATGGCCATTAATGTACCTCCACTACGTTTTGCAGTGTGGACCAACGTAGTGGGGGTACGTTTTCCCATGAGACTGGGTTGGCATAGGTCAGTCTGGATATTCCTTCAGCTTTAGAAAGTAAAATTCTGCCCCGAAGGGATAAATCTCTTTGGAGCCATGAATTAAATCTTTTCTTTGTTCTTTCTAAAATTGGGCTAAAATTGAGGTCACACCTAGTATTCTTTGTTTTGGTTAACGTTATTCCTAAATAATTAATGGTTTCTTTAATTGGAATACTGCAGAGATGAGAGAGTTCACATTTCTTAACAGCCATTAATTCACATTTGCTCACATTTAAGTAAAGACCAGAAGCCTCAGAAAATACTTTTATCAATTCAAGTGCTAGAGAAACTTCAGAAGAATCTTTTAAGAAAATTGTTGTATCCTCAGCCAGTTGGCTGATAATTCTTTTGTCCAGAACTGACATTCCACCCAATTGACTATTTATTATGTGATTAGCCAATAGTTGAGTTGATAGCAGAAATAAGGGAAAATGTGACAACCTTGCCGTATACCACGTTTCAAGTCGAATCTTGGGGATGTTCCGTTTTTCAATTTGATTGAACTATTTCCATTATTATATAATGTTTTAATAGTACTGCAGAAAAAATGACCAAAACCGAAAAGGTTTAATGATTCAAAAATAAAGTTGTGTTCAATTGAATCAAATGCTTTGTAAAAGTCCAGGAAAAGGATAAAGCTTTCATCATTTATCAAATCGGGGTAATCTAATATGTCGAGCAGAAGCCTAATGTTATTTGAGATGTGTCTATTTCTTAAAAAGCCTTATTGTGTTTCTTCAATAATATCATCCAGAACTAACTTTAATCGCTTAGCAAAAATTGTGGCCAGGATATTGTAATCGTTATTTAGTAGACTAATTGGACGCCAGTTATCTATAAGTAACAGATCCTTCTTTGGTTTGGGAATCAGAGTAATCAGTCCTTGAGTTAGGGTGGGAGGAAGAGTACCTTTAGTAATACTTTCATTATAGACCGCCAATAAGAATGGAGCAAGATCTTCAGCGAATAATTTATAAAACTCAGACAGCAAACCATCTGTTTCAGGTGATTTATTATTTTTCAGGCACTTAATTGAATCTGTCATGTTGGGATTAAGATGTCTAACCCACATGCAGAAACACTCGGAGGCAGAGAAAAAGTTCAAAGGTTTAATTACAGAAATGTACAATAAATAAACTGGTCCAAGGGGGTGGTTGACTGGTCAGGAGTGGGTTCACCGCTGAGGAGGACAGAGGGGTTAGTGTTGGTCCAGGTAGGTATATTGCAGGTTGTTTGATGTTCAGGGTTATACCTGTTCTGGAATGGAGTGAAGCTGCAGAGGGGGGGAACCTTGAGGGTCCAGAGGCTGTCGGGAGGCAGAGGGCTGTGGGCGGAGGCAGAGCTTAGTGAGTGGAGGCAGGCTGATCTCTGACTGAGTCTTTTCTCTCCAAGTTATCTCTGAGGGCGGGCAGGCAGATTACAGACAGATGCAGCCCTCCAGAGTTCAACTGAGAGCGGGTAGGCAGGTAACCAGCAGAGAAAACTCTCCAGGATTTCAGTTTGTCAGGCAGGATCGATCTGTGAGACAGAAAGGTAAACAGGATCAGGCTTAGTTCACAAAAAGTCAGAAGACTCAGACAGGCTGGTTGGCTCAGGCTTTGCTAACCATTACTGGCAAACACACTGGCACTGGAGTGTAGGTCTCCGCCTCCTTAAGTAGGGAGCCTCCTGATGAGCAGATAGAGGACAGGTGTTGTAGACAGCTCATGCTCCAGGAGATCTAGTGCGCCCTCTGGTGGAGAAAGTGGACAAACCTCCAGATCCCAACAGAATCAAGTATTTATTTTAATGTAATAGGACGATCGCAAAAATCTCGGTCATCAGGAGTTATTTGCTTTAAGTCTGTCAAAGAATTTAGAAACTTATTAGCATTATTCTCACAATATTTGGAGCTGTATAGATCCTTATAAAAATTAGAGCAGTACTTAGCAATGTTGGTTGCGTCATTGCATACAACATTATCTATAAGAAGTCGGTGAATTGTGTTGGTAGCAATTTGTGATTTTTCCAGTCTAAAAAAATATGCCCTTCCTCTATCCATTGCCTTCTAGATCTAACATAAGCACCGTCAGCCTTAGCTTGATATAATTTGTCTAATGTGTTTTGGTTTTCTGATAAATCCACTTTTTCTGCAGAGGACAATTTATCAGGTGAAACAGAAGACAAAGCTGCTATCTTTGAAATAACTTTTGCCTCAGTAGATCGCTTTTGCTTTGAAAAATCGCAGCAATATTTTCTAAAAAATTTGCCTAATTCGAATTTCAAAAGTTCCCATTTTGTCATATACATTTCGTCAGCTTTAGCCTCATTCCAAAATTTCAATATCAACCTCTTGACCATACTTTGAACTGCTTAATGAGATAAAATAGAACTATTAAGTTTCCAATATGAAGTATGTGGACGGCAAGAGGAAGGGATCACAGAAATGTTGATTTGAATTGCTTTATGATCGGTCAAAGGGGTGGAGAGAATTTCAAAATTTTTACTCGAAATTAACCACAAGTCTATTCTAGATTGTCTAGATCTTGATTTATTGCACCAAGTAAAGTTACGAACAGAGGGTTTTTTTTCTCTCCATATATCTATTAAGTCAAATTTTTGCAAATATTTTTAAATATGCATTGGAACAAGCAAGAATTCCAGCTGGCCATCCATCCATTAAATCATCCAGAGTGATATTAAAATCCCCCCCACAGACCAGGTAAGCATTAGGAAATTTAGCCAGCCAAAATAGAATTTTGTTTTCTACCTCATTTTACAAGTCTTTATTTTCATGTACTGTGTTGTAGCCATAAAGATTGATAGTTACAAAATGAAGATCGTAAACATTAAGAACTTGGCAAATATAATGACCTTTCCTGTCGCTCTCAGAGTGTAAAACAGAACCTGTAAATCGGTTTTTAAATGTGCAAACCCCAGCTGAATGTTGTGAAGCATGTGAAAAAAAAGCATCATTCCCCCATTGGGACCTCCAAAACTGCATGTAATTAGAAACAGTGTGAGTTTCTTGAAAAAAACAAAAATCCGTTTTAAATTGCTTACTAAACAAGAAAAGAGCTTAACGTTTCAAATTATTCCTCAAACCCCTGGCGTTAAGTGAAACAACAGACAAAGACATAAAATGAAAAGAGTCAGCTAAAGAGCTTTGATGATGAAAACAGTGGTAAATGACGCGAGAACAGCATCAGAACCAGAATCACAGTATATTGGTAGCCTTCCAAAAAAACAACGTTCAAACAAGAGGCCAGCAACAAACAGTTCCAGGGTTTTTCATAATTCCACTCTAAATTGGAGGGAGGATTTCCTTCTTATCAATGAAGGCACGGTCGCCCACAAAGTAGGCAATCTTCGCAGCTTTTCGAGCCTCACTTACAAGGGTCCACAGCTTCATCCTGGCTTCCCTGTCGGCTTTGCAAAGATCCTCAGTGCAGCGAAGATTGTTCTCCTTAAGGAAAGAAGAATTCTTGGCGGCTGCCCATACTGCTGCTCTGTGCGTGCGGGAGGAGAACTGCAGCATGATACTCCTGGTGCTGTTAGGCTTCTTTATTCCCACACGGTGCATGGAGTCAATAACATCTGGAAGTTTCTCGGCATTCCCAGGAAGCAACGCTTGGCTGATTCGAATCACCTCTCTCTGTAAATCCTTCTCTTCCCCGCGCTCTGGCACGCCGTCTAACTTCAGGTTCCACCGCCGAGAGTATCGTTCCATATCTTTGATGCGTGACTCCAACATATTCACATGTTTCTTTTCTTCATCCAGAGCCTGTTCAAGTTGTGAAACTTTCCCCTTCAACTCACTCATTTGGTTACAGAGTTTCCACATTTCCCCTCAGATTCGTTATCTGCACTGCATTCTCTTGAATCAGGGATTTCAGCTCGTCTGACCTGCCGTTTATTAGCTTCGACAAAGTAGCAACAATGTCTCCGCTAGCTGCATCACTTTTACCTTTTATAACAGGTGGTTTCTCTGGAGTAAGGGGCAGTGGAGGGAAGTCTTCTTCTTCCATCAGAGAGAGTTTGGGGATGTCAGAACGGGCGGCATAATCATGACAAGTATCGATAAGAATTTTAGAGTCTTTGCCGCTGCCAGTATCTTCCGCCCCCGCGGTCTTCCCCGAGCTTTTTCTCTTTCCACTAGAACTTGACATGATTCAAACAAGCCATTTCTGGGGCTGACGAACATAATTAAATGTTAACTAGAGTTTAGAAGAGAGTGGAGTCTAGCTCCGCCTAGCTCGGCGGAGCTAGACATGCATCTGGCTGTTGTCAGGTTACCCTCCCTATGGGATTCCCAATGGATTGCAGATGCCACACACGCACACAAAATGACAGAAAGATCCGAGCTGATGAAAGAAAAGAGGCCTGATGAGACCGATTCATTCAGAGTCGCTGAGGACGTTTTTATAACCTAGACCGATCGAATGGACGGATGATCCACGGACCTTTGTTGATTCAGTTATTTGTTTTGCCAAAAAGATTAATTATAATCATTTTTCATTAAATAATAGAGATGCAAATAAATAGAAATAAACAGTTCTCAGATAAGATCGGAGGTGTATGAAATAAGATAATGCAGTCACTATGTTAAATTAATTCATTAACTGTATTTTAATCAAAAACATCATATCATCATAAGATTTTGGTTGTTTATGCAAATGGTCTCAATAAACTTTTCAGTTGACTGCAGGCCCACAAACACGGCAGAGCTCCCAAGTGCCGCCTGGTGGTTGTCCGGGTACATTGCAGTTCTTTTTGGAAAAAAATATACTGGCCTCAGGAAATACATCGTGATTCAAGCAGGAATCACACAGGAATCACGCAGGAAACCGTCCATTTCCAACCAGTGCCCACTGTAAGATGATATGTGTTGTAAATTGGCGCTATAGAAATAAACTGAACTTAATTGAAACTGAATTTAGTATCAGCCGATCCGTTTTAAGGTCCAGAGGTGTTTGTTTCCAGGTGGTGTTGTGTCATTCATAAGTAATAATTTAAAATAAAGTTAACAGAATCACTTTTATCAACTGATCTGTTATTGAGTAACCATCTGAGACCCAAGCTTTTGTTTGGTGGGCTCTTCTTCTTTCTCTAAGGGATCAGTAGGACTTTATAAAATGAAATATGTTAATAGAATGATTTGGAAAAAAAGGTGGAAAGAGGAAAAAACAGGATAAAATATGGAGTGCATTAATAAAGTAGGTCTGCATTGTTTGTCTCCAGATCAAGGAAATTCTGGTTAACTGTCAATGTTATAATTCTGAAAGAATGTAATGCTAAAATGAAAAGTTAAATCTGTTTTGACAAATGAACAGCTGAAATATTTATTAGTCTGTACAGCTGCATTAAATAATTGTAAGTTTATAAATTAAAAACGTCATTGAATTATATTAGATTGTTGTTTATCTGAATAGATAATGGGGTTTTAATACGGTTTTACATTTAACTATGTAATCTTCTGCACCTTCTGCCTTGAATCAGCCATTGCTGTTATGACCCTGCGGAGGTTTAAAGGAGATTGCTGTGTCAAAGAAGATTCAATTTTAAATATTAATATTTTTTTCTTATATTCTTCTTGTATTTTAGTTTGTTTCTCCCCACAGTGATGAACATCTGCTATCCCAAGGCAGTAATGTGAACAGCCTGTTTTCTAGGAAGGCTGCCTCATGGGAGGAAGACTCAGGCCAGAGGTCTGAACCCAAAAGACTTAAAAAAAAAAAAAAGGACAATCCATATCAAGTGAGAGATGTTTGCTGCGAGGAAGAAACTATTCTTTTGTCGCATTAGAAACAACTCTTGACCCTTTAACACTTTGTAAAATGCTCTACATTTCAACAATGAGTTACACTCATCTAAGAAATGAGTAACGTTATGATAACTCTAAGCCTTTTATTCAGGCTGGTTCTTAAAGGAAAAGTCCGTTCAGCAAGGAATAATCAATGGATCATTATTTATAACTAAAATTAATACGTTTGTGGTGCTTTAATGAATTTAGCGTTAATCAGTAAAAGAGTAAAAATAATAATTTTCAAAGCGATCACTGAGTCTGGGAGCGGCCATTTTTGCCCAAATATAGTAGCCCCTCCCTCCTGCCATCTTCCAGCAGTGACATCACGGTGCGGTAAGCCTAGCGCCATTCTCCCCGCTTTACAAGCTAAATCAATGGGAACTACTAGACACATCTGCAATCAACAACAATTATTGAAGATTTCCAGAGGACTTCACCATTGAAATTCACCAGAGCTATAGTGAAACTGACAATGCCCACGTGCATGGCAGCTGGATGCTGGAATACATCGGGTTAAAGTGAAAAAAAGAGTTATTCCACCTTTCTGATTCCTGATCCTCCACGGACGGGTTGGTCGTTGGATCGCCAACTTGAAGAGGGAGGATTTGCCATCGAACTTCTGGCCAGAGAAAAAACACGTAATATGTAGCCAACATTTGGAAGAAGAATGAAGAATGGAGCGAGGTGTAACGTTAACAGCTGGGATACAGCACAATAATTAAACAGCCAGTTAAATTAGACAATCCACATGTATCGGTCACATCATTAAATCAAACGCTGTGTGTCCCAGGGCCCTGGCAGAATTACATGAAGTAAAAATGGCAGAAAATGCCTAAAAATTTGAGCAGGCGTGGAGTGATTTTGCTGAAGTGGCAGGAAAATTAGGGTCAGCAGGGGGCGGATATTGAGTGGAGTGGTCTGGCGCAACTTTGTGCGGCGGAACGAATGAGCGAAAACCTCCTGAGCGGGAATTGTGCGGCGCTCCGCTCTGTTCACATGCTCTGACGTATGCTAGCATTTTTTAAATTTTTTTCGTACATAGGCATATGCTGGCTAAATTGCTAAATTGCTGCTCTGTGTGCTCCCATAAGGGAGCACACAGAGCAGGCACTTATGCCGCAATTTAATCCGTCTTGTGATCAGATACATACAAACCACAAAATATTAATCAGTTATCACTAGGGGTGTAAATAATAATCGTTTTGTATCGATGCATCGATCCAACAGCCGACGATCCGATGCATCGACACGTCCGCAAGAGAATCGATTCATTTTTTTTTTTTTTCCCCTCCGGTCTATTTATATCCATTTGCTCCTGGGCGTAATCCTCCCGTGCTGCGGTGGCGCTAAACCTATTTTGCCCTCCTACCTCGCTTCCTGGTTATACTCTTACAGCAGTCTTAAGATCACTCATTGCACAGTCAGGTGGTTGAAGCTTTCATCCACTTTTATTAAAACATTTTGCAGGCATCAGTTTCAAAAGGAGCCATTTTCTTAGACACAATGAATTGTAAACCTTTCTAAAGTTGTACAAATTTCATGAAAGCACAAGACCATTATGAATTTTTTCTAAAATGTTTGTCGTGTGACTCTTAAATTGTGTATTCTTTTTGTAAATAAAACAGAGCACACCAAATGTTTTCAGATAGTGAATAAATTGGTTAATTTTAGTGTGAGCTAAGATAAACCGTCTTCCTTTTCTGGAAGCTGGTGTCTATGGAAAAAAATTGGTAATTATCCATCAAAGACAGACGAACAAACGTTTGCCTCTCGACCAACGAAAACACACAGACATGAAATCAGCTTTAGCTCAGCCTCGGTGAATAAATTAAATAAACTCCTCTGAAACACGTAATGATTTGCATTGAAGAGGATGGTTTTCATTTGGGCCGACGGGTCTTGGGTTTCCCCTCCGTCGCGGCTGTAAAATGGAGAGATGTTTCCTGGAGTGCGCGTGAAACCAGTTCAAACCGTGTTTTGACTGCAGCCTGCTGTTTTACCATCTCCCCATGGTTTGGACACAGAGCCCAGTCTCCACCCTTGCTTGCTTGTATGCGTGTGTATATATTTAGAAGTCATCTGTTAATGATGCGTTCTGGCAGTTCCTGCTGTTTTAAGGGTCTTCCCGTGGCTTGGACAAAGTGTCGAGTCTGTCTCTATTCAGTGTATCTTCGTCTGTGTTAGCTCGTGTGTTTCTGAGAGTCCCTGCTGTTTGATGGCCGTCCTGTTTGGGTTCTATCCACTGATTTCACTATGGCTCTGCAGCTTTCTGTCTCCTCAACAGTTCCTAAAACAGGAAAGAAACAAAATGGTTTGTACAAACAGAATCATCAAAAGGGATGTTTTTTTTCACCATTTGACATCAAATAGAAATGAAACTGTACATATTTAGTTGAATCATGACTGCTAATATTAATTCTGATTGCAAAATCTGCCTTTATTTGATCTGGAAGTCCCACTGAGATCAGAATCTGTTTTACAAAGAAGTAAGGTTTTGTGGATAGCAGCCATAAAAAACATCTAACAATATAAACTATCATGATTAAAATTGACCAAAAGTAAAAACAAAACTAATATAAAAACAAACTGCTTGAAAGTAATATCTGCCCCTTTATATTAAAGTGGGAAATATTAAATCAGACACTTTAACCTGAGCATTTAGTGGTATAGTTTATTTCGTCAACAATACTTATGTGGTGTTTCGTTGACGATTTAAACTGCACACTGAGCCTGGTTCTGCTGGCGGTTTCTCCTGTTAAAAGGGAGTTTTTCCTCTCCACTGTCGCTACAAGCATGCTTAGTGTGAGGGATTGCCTTCAAGTCAATACGTCGATGGAATCAACTGGTTTTCCTTAGATAGAAAACTTTGAATCAATCTGACTGGATGATCTGGTGAACTGGAAAGTGACCTGAGATGACATGATGTGAATTGGCGCTATAGAAACAAACTGAATTGAATTGAAATTGAACTAAAGAAAATGTAAACAATGGAGCAGCTGAATGAAAACCAAGCTAACTGCAAAAAAAAGAAATAAATAAAAAATAAAAAGTGTCTCTCATACAAAGATCAAGAGAAAAAACAAAAAAAAAAGTAACCACTACAGGAACCATTAAATACAAAAACATATGGATGAATTTCAAAATAGGTTGGATAAGCTTCATTAAGCTGTATTATAAGAATGTACAAATCTGATGAAATAAATAGGGTTATTAAATCATCCATCTCAGCTATAATTATTGTAACAACACCTCCAAATATCCTGGAACTGCCTGTACAAGTTTCAAAGTTTCTCTCAACTCTGGTCAATGATGCAGGAGCGCCAGAGAGAGTAGAGCCCAAACTATTCCAAAAATTCAAAGAATGAGACGCAGATTTACTATCCTTCCATCAGACATAATGCACAACAGGGGTATAAGTTTGCAAATCCTACAATCTTTCTGTTAAACTGGCAAGCTTCCTCTCATTTGTGATTTATTGGCATGTTTTTAGTTTGGCTTGTCAGTCGGGGACATTAAATGTGAAATGGTTTTGAAAGTTGGAGCCTCCAGAATGACTCAGTGGTCTGAAACAAATCCAGCAGCCATATAATCCAAAACAAAACTTAAATTGAGTTGTTTTTCATCAGTCTCTCTCACTTACATTGGAAATAAAAAAAATAATCTCTGGATTCAATAGAAAGGGTTTAGTGACTCCATCTAACACATAAAAAAAGACTGATGGAGTTTTTTTTTTTTATTACATTCCACAGCTTTTAGTTTATCTTCTTTATTCTTCCAATCGTTTCCCAGAAATATGCTTGGGTTAAAAAATGGATGTGTAATAATTTGTACTGTAAAGGTATTAAAAATGCAAATTTCAGGACGTACCTTTTTCTCAAAATCATAGTACAGATTGTTTTCGGTACACGTTGTTCCAGAAACACAAACATTGATGTAGTCGGCAGTAAAAATATATTTTTTTATATTTTGATTTATTTTAATATTTTGTAGAAATTCTGGCAATTGAAGAATTTGATTGGAATATTTACAATAATAGCCAATGCTTGGATAAATTATGCACAACCCCCCCTCCGAAAGTATTCAAGATTCTTATTTAGGAATTTTAAACAAAGACGAAAGAGAAGTTGAGACTGGAGAATACATCTGCCATTCTATTGCTACAAGTCCATCCCTTCACCCTAAAGAGATTTTTAAATTTAAAATAAAACATACGGTTCATTACCATACCAACTTTATTTATGAAGCACTTTATGCAGAGGACAGGACCAAAGTGCTGTACACAATCATAAAATACAATAAAATTATAAAATAGAAAAAAAACGAATGTAAAATACATATTAGTATACAAAGAGAATAAAACAAAGTAAAACCTCTCAAATTGTGCCAAAAGCCAAGGAAAAAAGATGAGTCTTAAGAAGGGACTTAAAAAAGAGAAGAGGCCTGTCTTCTGTTCAGAGGCAGATCATTCCACAGCTTAGGAGCTGCCACAGAAAAAGCACGGTCTCCTCTGAGTTTGCATTCTGTCTTTGGGACCCTCAGAAGCAACTGATCAGCTGACCTGAGGGAACGGAAGGGTGTGTAAGAATGCAACAGCTCAGACAGATAAGGAGGGGCAAGGCCATTAAGAGTTTTAAAAACAGATAAAGAATTTTAAAATCAATCCTAAAATGTACTGGCAGCCAGTGTAAAGAAGCTAAAACAAGGGAAATGTGGTCGAATTTTCGTGTACCTGTTAAAAGACGTGCAGCAGCATTTTTAACCCTCTGAAGATGAGAAATATACAAGTCACTGAGCCCTGTATAAAGTGAGTTGCGATAATCCAGCCATGTGGTCACAAATGCATGGCTCACTGTTTCAAAATGTTGTTTTGAAAGAATGGGTTTTATTTTGGCTAGCTGCCTTAAGTGGAAAAGGCTGGACTTTATAACGGCTCTGATGTGCGCTTCCATTTTAAGACCAGCATCCATCTTAACCCCTAAGTTAGTAATAACCGGCTTAACGTACTGAGCCAAGGAGCCAAGACTAGTCACGGAATCAGCAGTGGATCTGCCAAAGATCATTACCTTCTTTACGTAGGAGTTTACATTCTTTAGAGGTAAGTACATCTGTGTGTCATCTGCATAGCAGTGAAAGGCAATCCCATGTTTTCTAAAAATAGAGCCGAGCGGAAGAAGGTAAAGTAAGAAAAGGAGCAGGCCTAGAACTGAGCCCTGTGGGACACCACATGACAGTGGAGCAGAGGGGGACCTATGGCCATCAAGACAGACACAAAAAGTACGTTCAGCCAAATATGATCTAAACCAATCTAGAGCTATGTGACCGATGCCCACCCACTGTTCCAGGCGGGAAAGTAAAATGACATGATCAACTGTATCAAAAGCAGATGATAAATCCAACAACACCAAAACAACGTCACCTGAATCAGTTTCATTCACAGTGCACCATATCCCTAGCAACCTTGTGTGCACGCAAATATTGAAAGACAAAGAGATGGGCCCCCTACAGAGGTGTACAGGTCCAACCGGACCCAAAGGTGGTCGTCGGGGGTTACTGTCCTGCAGTTTGTAGAGGTTTCCCTTCATGACCATAGCTGATTCTAATAACTGCAGCTTAGCAAATGCCTGGTAATTGGCTATCACTGGAAATCAGCTGTGCTGAAGCAAGCAAACCTAGGCCGTTTTGTACTCGTGCGTTGAATGTGGTGATGTCACCTGTAAGTCGTGTGCTCGTGAAACGTCATCAGCCCCAGCACTGTTCCAATTCACAAGAACACAAGACCAAGAACGGACAAAGTCCCCGAATGTTGTTCTCATTCCTCCCTCTTTACCCAGCATGCATCTGAGCAGATTTGTCAGTTCCCCAGACTGACAGCTCTCCCAGCATGCACTGCGTCAGCACCAGCTTCCAGGTTAGTGATCAAAGACGTCACAGTGTCAAGTTAAAAGTTATTTTCTGTTGCTGTTGTTCTATAAAAGTACGTTTGAAGATCATTTGAGGCAAGAACATAATACCTTTAAGTGACACTATATGGCCCAATTACTGATTTAGTGTGTAATAATAAAAAAAGAAGTTCAGATGTTGAGAGTACCATGGCAACCAGCAGACCTCCGAGGCTAATAGCAGCCAGGGCTAACATTATCAGATCTACAGCAGCCCGCTTCTGCATAGCCGTGTGTCAAGGCTCTGATGGAGGTTTGATTGAATTGTTTGGCAAAACGTTCATTTAATTTGTGTTTTTCTGACTATATTAATCATTATTCATTCCAGTAAAGGAAAAAAAGTCAGAATGTATTATTATCTAGTGAATATTAATAACATGAGGTTAAATGCAGCTCCAGATAAGCTTTGAACGTGTTGACGTCGTCAGTACGCTCCTGTTCTAATTGACCCAGATTTATGCAGCATGCTCCTGTTCTCCCAGAGTTCATACTTCCTGTGTTCTTGTCAAGAACATACTTGGCGAGGACACAAGTTCATACTTGGGTTCTTGTAAATTGTGAAGCGGCCCAAGTGCTTACAGTAAGATGTGGCTGAAAGTTCTTGGCAGAAACTACAAAAAATGGTGACCGCAGTTGTTCTGGCTGTGAAGCTTCTTTATAGGGTCAGACAAGCCAACACAGGAAACAGCAAAGAAAAGAAATGATGTTTAAATCACATTGGAATTGTTTTGATATATGTAGAGACTCAAGTTGTATCTAGATTCACCTTAACTATTCAGCTGCTGGGATCATTCCCCACCGCAGAGTCATGATCCATGTCTGTCAGTGTTTTATTATCCTTGTGCCTTTGTAAACTCCCAATAATCCAAGTCATAGAAACACAAGACACTCTCAAATCGGAGTAAATAATAATTGAACTTTATTTATCTCACATTGGAGAAATTTACCTGTGAATCCCATCCCCTTGGGGAGCAGTGGGCTGCCTTCATGGGGCACCCAGGGAGCAGTGTGGGGTTAAGGGTCTTGCTCAGAGAGCAAGAGTTGCAGTTTTTGGGAGTTGGGCTCGAACTCAGAACCTCAGGATTCCAAGCTCTATGCTGTAACCGCTAGGCCACCACTCCCCAATGCAAGCACCTGGACCCTCACTTGGTTATTCAGACACCTATTTAGGAGTCAGCGCTGCACTTTATAAATGGAAATGTTCCTTTCACTGCTAAGCTACTCTTTCACTGGTGAAAACCTGTATGGATCGAAATTTTGTTTTGTATACACTCTGTGTATACAAAATGACAATAACGTTTGTCTAAGTATGAGACGAGAGGGACACAAAACAGAGAACATAACAAAA